CCTGGGGGAGCGCAGTCGATGAGTGAGGTTATGGTGACGATGTTGGGGTAAGAAGTGATTGTCCGGACGAGGGTGGTCGTGCGGTCTTGGGTGTAGAGGTGCGTGACAGTCCGGACGCACTGGAATTGGGTCTGGCGAAGGGCGCTTGAGGGGGTGACGAAGATGGTTGTGGTTGAGGTCCTCGTGCGGCGCGGAGGGCTCGTTGGGCGCGGTGGAGGGGCGATAGTAGTGGCGTTTCCCTGTCGAGGGAGGACGACGGGCACGCTGGCGCCGGTGGGAATAGGGGCAACCGAGGGTACACGAGAGGGTGTAGGCCGGGTTGGGGGGGTAGGTTGGCCGTTTACCATAACAGTGCGAGTGCAGTTCCGGGACTGGACGATGGCCGTTGTCGCCGACCATCGCGTCACCGTTCGTGTCCTCCAGACGATCAGATCACTCAGGGGCGCCGGAGGGAGCGAGACTGCCGGAACAGAAGTCAAGGCTGTCGCTGTTGCCGAGGCACTGGTTGGGGCTTGTGCCAGAGGACTCCCCAGGGCAAGTGGGAAGGCTGCCAGGAGGCCCAAGAAGCCAAAGAAACCCATGTTCGCCGTAGTTTGCTGTTGTCTCTGCTCTCACGGTATGTTGTCTGATTCGATGGATAATCCGCGGTGGGTATTAAAGCAACCGAGGTAGCTCTGAAGCCTGTATTTATACATGGACCGCGCATAAGTCGTCCACACTCCGCGTCGCCGACGTTTCTGCCGATACCTACGTCGGGCATCGGACTGAACTATACAGCGATATTGGACGGGAAAATACTTTTCAGGAATCCCCACGAATGTGAGTATCTCTTACGCACCTCTTCCATCACGACGAAGCTCGTCGGCTGCTGCTCGGCCCGCGAGTGGTCGGCAATTGCCATCGATGATGCAGCACCGGGAAGCTCGTCTCCTGACAGCATATTGTCTTGTTCCCCCGCACTCTACCTTCACAGTACCGACCTCGCTTGGCTTGCTCGCAAACTAAGATACAGGTTGGTCTGGTGATATCGAGCAGGGGGTGCGGCTTGCGCGCCGAGTGGCTTGTTCCTGGGGAATATGCACCTTGAATGTTTTGACCTGCTGCATGTTACACACCGGGATTAGCCATTGACCAAGGCAGCAGAACCGCATCGTACCTCCAACGTCCTACATGGCTTTGGCGTAAGCATTTCCGATGTCCGCTCAGTATTGGTGAACCAAATATTACCTGGTCCGACTTCTGGGTTTCCGGGTGATGGACCAGCAGCTTCCTGGAGCTATCCCGGCTATTTTGTCCGAGAGAACCCCACCGAATTATCCGGTCACGGCAGCCCCTCGAAAGGGCTGCACAGTTTGTTTTAGCAATACCGATATGTGTCGATGACATCAGACATTCGTCGCCAAGAGAAGTTTCGAGAGGGGATGAGGTCTTGTCGTGATGGCGACAATTTCGAACATGGTATTCAGCCGTCAACTCCGCCTTTTCCTGCCGGTATTTCTGTGTCCAGTAGGTCTGGTCGCAATTCTTTGAGTCAAAACTACGGCTAGAGCGGATGCAGGTCAGAATTGAGCGGGTAGGAGAGCAGCGAAATTCAAACGTACCAATTTCCATCCATCTCCGTGGCCGACGATCCATTGCTTTGGACAGAAAACACCAAGTGTCTTGGAAGCAGTCTGCCTGGTTTTTGGGGCAACAAACTTGACATGTTGATGCCCTTTGACCTAGCACCTTGAGTTAGCATGTTTGACACCCTGAGTGGTTCCAAACCCCCTCGGCCAGACAAACATTGGACACCGTCTGGACAAAGCCAAACTTCCCCCTTCTGTTTCAGCCACCTGTTGTATGCTGTTTGATGTGCAAGGCATTTTTTTGAGGGCTATAACGTGAGATCGCTGCCCTGTCTTCGTCGATTTTAGACTGGAACCAACCCGCACTGCAGGCTGGGGACTAGAGGTCCTGAATCAACCGCGTGTTGAAGAAAAATTCGTATGGCGTCTCGGACAAACAGCCCCCAAGAGATATATAAGGGCCTTCTAATAACCCTGCACGCCTGTGAACCGTGTTGAAAGGCGGATTGGAGGAGGCACGGTGGCAGGGCCGAAGGACAGGAATTTCAACACTTTTTGATGGAAATCATGGCCAATTTGAAAGAGGAGACCCCAGCTGCCTATTGCTAGGATCAACAGAGATAAGAGCACAAGTTCAAGGGAATGTACAGGAACCCGAGTAGCCAGACCGCGTGGACGCTCAGTTTTCCTCCAGCGGAGAACAAGACAGGAAAACCCACCCACAATCCCAACAAAACGCCGTCTAAGCGAGTCACCCCATCCACACACACACTGCACCTTCCCTTGATCCTAGGATGAGACCAAAGGTGTAATACCTCAGGCCACGACTGATAAGATTTGGCATTAGCACATGTGACCAACATAAGTCCAAATTCAAGGTTTTCTGACCAAGGTACCTATTTAAATTCCGGCTGGCAGCTCGAGCGTGCTCCTCTTTTTTTTTCTTCAAGCAACCAAAAGCCTTCGGGTTCTCGAGTTTCTGACCTTGCGGTTGCACCACACCATAACAACTTCGAGAACGCCTGTCCATACTCTGCTATCTCTGGAGTATCATTATTCTTCTCCTCCCCAAATCATTTACCTCGAGATATCTTCCCCGCGTCCTCTCTCTTGTCGCCATTGACGAAGAATCTGACGTCTCTCCATCACGAACCTCCCGCTTCGAACGTCAATATCGGCTTCAGCTCTAGGTCTGGACTGTTCGAATCGAGTCTTTGATCAATTCAATAGCAGATAAGTGCCATCTCGAAGCCGGCCCGCAGTCACAACAACACCATACACCCTCTTTTTAACCCCAAAGACCCCCCTTTCCATCGTTATGCGTCTCCTCTGCTTCGCCGGCAACCCCTATATTGCCACCCCTATACCCCTCAAATAGACACAAAAAACGCGTCTTAACCACCCAGGCAACACCTCCAAACTAATCAACAGAAGCCCTCAAGTCGATTCAAATAGGCCTAATGAGATAATCTGCAGGCCCCTTACCATTCATCTCCTAATAGGCATACCACACACATTTGGCACCTCTAAATAACACATTATCCACACGTCGCCAATATGGACCACATGCATGATATGGATCCCGCCATTCCAGACGAACCATCGACCATTGTGAAGAGGAAGCTTGTCACCGTCCGCCGTATCAAGGAGATCGTGGACGCCAATCTGAACCATAAGGTGGTAATTCATATTGATGGCTGGACGGTGGTGGAGAGCAAACGCCCCCTGATGGAGATCAGGGAGTGGGCGGTACGTATCATCTTACCCCTATTCGCCCCTTCCTCTGAGACTCGACAGTAGCAGCTAATCGTACCTGCTCTACAGGTTGGCGAGCTCGTTGTTTTCTTCGAAATTGACTGCTTCCTCCCCAAAACCCGCGACTTCATCGACCTCTTCACCAACCCGAAGCGCGTCACCACCTACAAGGGCAAGGAGGGTTACCGCGTGCTCTCCACGGTCAGGGGAAAACACCTCTCCCAGGGGCTTATCTTCCCCCTTTCCCACTTCTGGGCCATCAACGGGCCCTTTCTCGACCGCATAAAGCAGATCGGCCGCTCTGCCGCCACCGCCGAGCTCCTCTCCAAGTCCTTCGAGGGCCTCCTCGGCGTCGTCAAGTGGGAGCCCACCGAGGAGGCCATCACTTCGGGCATCATCGGCACCACCCCGGGATTTGTGGTCAACCCCTCTTGGTACCGCGCCCAGAACATCGAGAACGACATCTTTGCCCCCTCGTGGCGCCACAAAGTGTGGCAAGTCACCGAGAAGCTGGATGGCGTCTCCATGCACGTCTACAAGGTCGCGGCGGGGACGAAGTGGTTCGGCTGCTTGCCGGTGCTCCCGCACGGGCAGGAGTACCCGATAACGATGCGGGACCCCGGCGGCCGCGGTCACGTCGGGGTTTGCAGCCGGACGCAGGACTTTTTGGATCGGCCCGGCAACGTGTACTGGGAGGCGGCGAGGAGCGGAGGGGACGTCGTCTGGAAGATTTGGGAGATTCCGTGTAAGTGCGGTGTCCCCGGCTGTGCTGGAGCTTACGGTTGTGGGAGGTGTTGCCACCCCTTTTTTACCTTTTTCCTGTCAGACTTCCGAGCCGTCGCCAGGTCGCCGAGCTGGTGAGGATTTGCGGGATGATGGGAAAGTCGCTGACGCAAGCGCCGACAGACCCGAACATCTCCGTCCAGGGGGAGCTTTGCGGCTCCAGCATCATGGGTAACACAATGAAGCTCCCAGAGGGCGAGCACCGCTTCGTCGTGTTTGGAATTTGGAACTTCGACACGGGTGCATACCTGGACGTCAAGGTAACATCCTGGCTCATGCTTGTTATACCCCTATTTTCACATACCTAACCGAAGTGTCAACAGGAGGTTGACGACATCTGTAAGAAGTTGCAGATAGAGCACGTCCCGGTCCTGGGGTAAGTCTACATCTCTTGCTGCCATGAACAACTGAAGACTAAACTCTATGCTTCTGCAGGTACTACAAGATCAGAGAGTTTGCCATAAACATGGACGGGTTGTTGGCCAAGGCCAACGGCACAGGCACGGGTGCCTTCGGTGGAATTAGCGAGGGATTTGTGTTTAGGTCCCTTGATGGAAAGGATCACTTCAAGGTGATCTCGAATGAGTGGCTTGCCGTCACTGGAAAGTAATGTAATCCGGTGTGGATGTGGGGAGATGGCAGATAGAAGGGTGGAGTACAGCGCGTTAACTTCTGGTCCTGAGCTGTGCGCACCGGCCTTTGAGGTGAATTAATGCATCCCCAGACCCATTCTCTGCGCAGTCTTCTTTGTTTCGACAGAATCCACACCCCAAACCTTTCTTTGACTTTGCCTCTGAACTGGATTGCATGAGTGCAACATGGGGAAAAGGGGGCGCAGGCTCGCCGCCTCCACACCCACACAACTCTGAATAACCGTCATCCCCAACGTGCGAAGGCGAGATGGCCGAGCGGTCTAAGGCGCTACGTTCAGGATTCCTGAATAGCATCATGGCTTCATGACTTTCGTAGTCCGAAAGGGCGTGGGTTCGAATCCCACTCTCGTCAAATCTTCACTTTCTGACATGAGACAGGCCCACCCTGACCAACAATAATGTCTGCCGTTTTGCTGTTTCGCTCAGCCGTATCTGTTTTCGCGTCAGGCGACTCCTTTGAGTTTCCTTGCTTCATTTGTCAGTCAGCTTTCTCGTACAGCCGCTTGACCGAGGACAGGAAATCGGTCAAACTGCTCCTTTCCATTGTGTGGCGGCCAAGCAGCGACTCTCAGACTACATCCTGCCTGTGCCCTTCCTTTTCCGAGGAGACAATAGAAAGTGTCTTCCAGGCAGGAGCCGACAAAGCAGGCGCAGCAAGCAATGGGGGTCGTCAAGTTCATGGACAGCCAACTCGGCCAGCTGCAGCCGCGAGATGGTGCATCTTGAGCGTAGGTTCCGTCCCCCAGCACCGAGGAAGTTGCAAAACAGCTCCTGCCCGCAATTTCTAGCGAGTTGCTAGAATATTCTTCAGCAAGATCCCCTGGCCCTCTCGCTTCTCTTCCTCCTTACATCATCCGTCATCACTTTTTGGAGAACAGAATATCCACGCTCAACTCTTGCTCAAGACCATCGACATCGCCATCAACAAGCTGAACATCAGAGATACATACCTGCCCGTCCCTTTACTCGCTGCCATCACCAATTCGTCCCAGAATACTCGTCGCAATGGTGAAGACTCTACCAAAGCCGCGGCCGCGCGTGGGATGCAGTAGGTCCACCGGATGGGCACCGTATCATGATGGAGCCCACGTACTTGATCGAGTGATAGTGAAAATTACATGGCCAGGCGAGATCGGCACGGTACGGTTATCCCTGGCCTTTGCTTTGCGATCTGCTTGGAGTTCACAGTTGCGGTGTTGAACTCCTCAGGATATGACCAGAACAGTCGTAGGCTATTACAGACGGAGTACTGACGCATGCCCTATAGAAGGTAATTCTATTTGTTTCCGACAAAGAGCGCAACGCTGTCATCGATGCCCTCGTACGCAGTCGTTTACTGAGCGAGATCGGTCCCCGGTTACAGTCACCTCCCAACTGGCCACCAGAGTTCAATTTCAAGTTCGAGTTCGAAACCATTGACGGCCCCCGAACTTGCACCCCGCACAAGCCAGTCCCAGAAGACGACAGTTACATCGTCGCCCTTGACAACGGGATCAAAATAGGTACTATTATCTCCCGACTTGCTATTACTTAGCTGACATGTTTCAAAGTTTCAGATCAACTACGGTGACTGGAGGACAATGGATATAGGGCACCGTATCAAGCTCGGCGCGCAAATGAGAATCCATATAGAGGATTTGGAAAGAAAGAAAAAAAGAAAAAGGAAAAGGTTCGGGACAAGCGGCAGAAAGCCCAGAATGGGAAGGAAGCGCAGCAGGAGAAAGCAGATCAGGAGCGGGAAAAGCTCGATGAGGTCAGTTTCAGTGAAAGCGACAATGCTGCAAGTTGCTAACAAGTATCAGGAACTTCAAGAGAGTATGGGAAACATCACCTTGGAAAATGGTGACTCGTAGCTCTTCCCCCAGTGAGGAGGCCGAGCAACATCTCCGGCTCTGCAATGTCTGACTAGGTTCACTTGGGACCAAGCAATCCAACGCAAGCTGGTCTTATTTGCGTGTGGATGTTTGCTGAATTACAGACAGATGGGTACTGGTGATCCACGCAGAGGAATGTCGTAGCCAGCCTCCAGAAGCAGCGCAGGAACTAGAAGAAGGGCATCACTGTCTGGGACGCTCCTTTCCGGCTTCCTTTTTTTCCACACTGTTTTTCTTGCTTCTCGGGACGGAGCCCAAAGGAGCACGAGTTCAGCGTTAGGACTTTGGACCAATAAAATTCAAGTCTCAGCGTTGATATCCACCAGGTACGTATTCCCGATGTCGTCTCATGTCTTTTGCCCTGCCTGTCTCTCTCCTTTGAGCCATGCGGATAGATAGCGCCAGGTGCAAACTGTGTACGAAAAGCTACCGACAAATGTCCTTGAGCAACGGAGCCCAGCCCAGAGCCAAGCCCAGAGCCAGCTCAGCCTGGATGGTGTCTTGTTCTACCTTTGATGGCTTGCTACTTTTCTCGGGTAATCGGTATGGAGACCCGTAGGAAGAAAGTCATGGCAAAGATCTCACACGGAGAAAAGATGATATGGCGGTCGGTGACGAAACGCCTTTAGTTTGGGCTGATCCAAGACCGGTCTACCGTAGCCTCTGACACCACACGCTCATATGAGCAAACGGCATGCACAACACCTGCGTGTGCAGATTATTCGTGCAATCGGCTACGGCAGCACCCCGGGTAGTTCCCAGACGGAGATGAGCGCTGATGATGGGGCGGGGAATCCCTAGGGGGGAACCCATGCGGAAAGACAAGAGGAACGACAAAAAGGGGTTGATGGATGAAATTTTGGGCAGCATGCACGAGGAAATAATCCGGATAATTGAGAGGGTTGCGGAGGAGTGTTTGGCTATAGAAATGAACACAAACGGTGATGGGATGGAGGAGTAGCTTGGTTTCTTGGCTTCTTGGATAACTGGGCATCGGCTCATAGGAGTTGGAAAGGGGGCTAAATAAGGGTGGATTTTCCGGGATGGGGTTACCTTCCTTGCCTGGACTGGAGGCTGGGCGCCTCGACGAGCGCCGGCCAGGTGTTAGTCTAGCGGCCTGCTCCTTAGCTGACACATGTGAGAGCGCTTCGGTGATCGGGTTCCGAGCAAGACATGGAGCGGTGAAGATAAGATCGGTATCCGCATGGTAATCTTCTAGCGCCCGCTCTCGATCGGTGAAGCTGTGCACTGGAGGCTGGGGTGAATGCCCATCTTCACTTTTGGTTTTGGGCTTCTTCCAGTCTATTGTTGGTGATGATACAGCGAGTTTGGACATTTGCGCTCTTGGTATCATGTTGCCGGACTAGCTTCGTCCAGCCGGCTCCTCTTTCGGCCGGCAGCCCTCTACCGCCACTGGTCTGCAAAGGTGGTCAGCACGAACCCAGCAGCTCCGAGCCCAAGAAACCCCGGCAGTGGTTTTTGCCAGATCTGAAGCGGCTGTCCGAGCTGCGGCAGCTTCCTCCACAGCAAGGCGCCCACCATCAAGGCCACGCCCATCCCCGCCATCTGCCAAAGCTCACCGCTCCCCTCCTGTAACGCATCAACCCTCCCTGTGACTTTGAGCTTCCTCCTAGCCCACCACCTCCGCCACGGCTCCCCAAACCCGGGAATATCTCCCATCAATCCATTTACAAATCTCCCCCCAACACTCACCACCGTCTCCTCCGCCATCCTCTCTCTCCACGGCAACCCCTCCACCCCGGTCCCAAACCACTCCTCCCTCCCCCAATCCACAAATTCCCCCAACCTCGTGTACTTCCCCCTAACCGTCTCTACCAACCACCCCCTCGGCACCTCCGGTACCACCATCAACGCCAAGTATGCCCAAACCAAACACCTCACCCCCGCTTCCACCCCCTCCCCTTTCCAATCAACCTCTCCCAATACATCCAACACCTCTTTGGCCAACCCCTCCAACCTAATCCTCGCCCTCTGCTCCGGCACCATCGCCCCTCCCACCCCCCTTCCCTTGCCAATCCCCTTCGGGGCACTCATCCACCCCTGCGCTGCCGCCGCTTCCCTCTCCGCCTCCTCCTTCTCCTCCATCGCGTCTGTATCCAAACTTGACATGCCTAAATGCTCCGCCCTGCGCGACATAGCGGTGCGTATGGCGGGTGGCTCGGTCCAGCCTAGGGGGAAGGGAAGAATCTTGCTGTAGGCGGGGCGGACGGTGGAAGACCAGTTGGCGGAGGAGACGTAGAGGGAGAGCGCGAGGAGGGGGGCGGCGTGGGAGGTCAGGAAGGCGGTGTAGGCGGTTGTGGTTGCGGCAGCGGAGCGGGAGGGTGGTTTCGGAGGTGGATAGAGAGAGGTGAAGTGAGACATTATGGACGAGTAACCGGAGTGGTGGGTTTTGGTTGTGGGGTTGTAGAGGGTTGGGAGCTGATCTGGGGAAATGTCAGTTGCCTCGAGTTCTGTAGGAATAGAGGGAGGAAGGAGGTACGTACGTGTTGGTACAGCGGATGGACTGCTTTGGATGAGCTGGTATTGGTTGCGAGGGAGTGTTTGGGTGATCAAGGCGGTGGCGGCCAGGGACTCGGGGTCTATGGAGGGAAGGCCGAAGGCCGGGCCCCAGACGTGAAGCTCCAGCACCATTGGTTGTGCGATTGGCTTTGAGGGTTGCGCAGGTGATAATAAGAGTCTGTTTAGAATGGCTCAAGCGATGCGCTGGGGGTGGCTTGGCCGTTGAAATTATTGTTGGAGTGGACAACTACAGCTACGTCGCATCATTGCTCAAAAATCAACTCCAACGCAACACGCTGCGCGGCGTGTCGTCAAACTTCGGTGCACGAGTCCACGTGGCGATAAGGCGCCCCACTTATCGCGCTGCAACCACTTCATCCCATCAATCAACACGCTGCTGCTGCGGAAACGTGTGTGAGCCGACGCAATGCGCCGCTGACGTGGGGGAATCGGGTGTCGGCAACTGAGCAAGTGGATTCCCTTTCTTTTGTTGCGACGCTGCCAAGGGCTTGTTTCGCGGTGCTATGTATTCTGTCGGCAGCTCGTACGATTCTTGCAAACGAAAAGAATCAGAAAGATCAAGCGATGAGGAGATATCAAGGGCGCTACGGCTCGGTACGGATGCCAAAGTACCTTGCACCGTGCCGCATCCGTATTCGCCCACATATTTGCGTCGCATAGCAGAGAGAGACGCTGTGTTCCCCGCGCCCAGGGCAGCCGAGGCAAACGGAGAAGGAGGATTGCAACGGTAACACGAGGGGTGTCCCATGACGCTGCCCTAATATTGCTTGCAGTGATTGCTCACCTTTGCTGGCAAAGCGTTGGCAAGCAATCTCCAAGTATTACCGGGGCCGGGGGAGGAGGTAGTTGCCGTTTGATCTGGCCTGGACACGAGGACTTGGGACTCTAAATGGCGACAGTCGACGCGAGATCGCCGACTTGGCCGCCGGTCCGCCAG